GTTAAAAGCTATAAGCTGTTAAGATATAAGTTATAAGCACTTTCCTACAGCTCTACCAAACAGGGCTATAGATGGGTAGCAACCAAGCAGTAATGTCCTTCCTCACCAACCTAGCCCGGGCGGCGTTCGGCCTCGGTCTCGGTGCTACCGTCCTCAACTCCTCCCTCTACACCGTCGACGGTGGCCAACGCGCTGTCCTCTTCGATCGATTTCGTGGCGTCATCGATTAGACCGTCGGCGAAGGAACCCATTTCCTCGTCCCATGGCTCCAGAGACCCTACATTTTCGACATCCGAACTCGTCCCCACACCTTCTCGTCCATCTCCGGCACCAAAGATCTCCAAATGGTCAACCTCACTCTTCGTCTTCTCTCTCGCCCCGAGGTCACTCAACTCCCCAGAATCTTCCAAACCCTAGGTCTCGAATACGACGAGAAAGTCCTCCCTTCGATCGGCAACGAAGTGTTGAAGGCTGTTGTTGCTCAATTCAACGCCGATCAGCTTCTTACTGATCGTCCTCACATCTCGGCTTTGGTCCGCGACAGCTTGATTCGTCGCGCGAAGGACTTCAACATCGTGCTTGATGATGTAGCGATAACGCACTTGTCGTATGGGGCTGAGTTCTCGAAGGCAGTGGAGCAGAAGCAAGTGGCACAGCAGGAGGCGGAGCGGTCGAAATTCGTTGTGGCGAAAGCGGAGCAGGAGAGGAGGGCGGCGATTATTAGGGCGGAAGGAGAGAGCGAGTCTGCGAAGCTGATTTCTGAAGCGACTGCTGCTGCTAGAATGGGTTTGATCGAGCTCAGGAAGATTGAGGCCTCGAGGGAGATAGCTTCGACCTTGGCGAAAACTCCAAATGTCGCCTACCTGCCTAATGGAAATAACATGTTGTTGGGGCTCAATCCTTCCATGGTTGGTCGCTGAATCGGTATGTTCAATAACCCTAGTTTTAGTTTAAAACTCATGAATGCTTGAAGTTGGTGTTTATGGCCTTGTTACAGTGATTATAATTGAGTTCAGGTTGATTCGGCACCTTATTCATGTTTGTTAGGTTCTTGTCCTCCTTAAATTACCTGATGCCATTGATGTGGCTATAACTCTAGTTCCAGATTCTGTGACCTATAATTGAAGTATAAATGTACTTGTCCAGCTTTGTGGATAACTTCTTGTTGCTAGTGATTATTTTATGGCTACAAACAATTTAGTATTGATGGGCTTTAACTTTATACAGATTATCCAATGGTCGAAGACCATTTTGGTTGTGCCCTTTCTTACGATTAATTTGAACTCTTTGCTGAAATGCATCTGGAATGGGCTGTTGGCACCCGGTTTGATTTCAATCTGTATTGAAGTGTCATTTCATGATAGGTTTTTTATTAGACACCAATTTGTTGTCATTGTTTTGTATCACTCGCCTACATGGATATTTATGATTGGTTTCCTTGTTTGGAGATAATTGTTAAGGAGTTAATGATAGCAAGTAATTTCTTGCTATGTACCCTGTGATACAAAATGGTGACTAAAACCCGTGATAGGTGGAAGTCCTCTTTTCATCATGAGCTTATGTTGGGTGATGGAGTAGCTCTGCCTTAATCGTTTGCGTGCATGCAGTTGTCTTCTTCATTATATATGAATGCATAATAAAAGTAGTAACAAGGAAAGATTGAAATCATTTCAACCGGCCTTCAGCATAACGAAAGGTGGGCATAGAAGCCTCCTTCAAATTAAAGAACTTGAGGGGGTAAACAAGGTAAGGTGGCTTCCTTCACGCCTTCACCACCATTAACTCAGTAAAACTTTACTAAGCAAGCGAAATACTTGACTCGGAGAAAGGAGTGCGAAAAGTTTAGGTTCAATAAGTGTATTGAAACATGCATATGTTCCAAAAGGGGGAGGGGGGGCAACTACCATCATCCCATTTAGGGGAGCTCTCTCAGTTGGTTAGCTAGTGTCATTGGCTTAGTTGCACGAAGCGGGAGCGGGAGTGGGAGCGGGGAAGCGTGAGCTGATAGAAGTTTCTTAGGTTGGGAGCGCCTCGGGGAGCGGTAATATATATATATAGACCATGGTGAGAAAGTGGGCTGTGGATCAATTTCATCTTTTTTCCTTTTGGCTGTTCGGTGCATTTGAATTTTCAGGCTTTCTTATCATTTCAGTATAGACATGGTTGCATCTCTGATGTCTTGAATTTTTGGCTTAAGATTGACATCTCTATAGTGAGGTATTGTTTTATATTCTTGATTCGTTACAGGTTAAAATCGGTTCCAATTTAAAATTATTTTAGCATATTAGTAATTTAATCATTTTACAAGTTGTACAATGGGAAGCATTATTTGATGGATTTATTAGGTAATTTTGGACTTACAAACTAGTAACCTAGTGAAATACTTGGTTTGATGCATAGCTGGATTATTCTCCTTAATTCACTATGAATCTGGAATGTCTAAATTCAACTGAGAAGATGTGGAAGGGTTTTGCCAATGTATATTATGTATTAGTCTGTCACTTATATGGAAGCTTGTCTAGGAAGTTTAAGACAGCCAGTACGTTTAGGCATGTGTTACACCCTCAAAAAGTGATATTAGAAAATGATGGGAAATAAAATGAATATTAATTGATGCGTGGTGTTCTTGTAGATTCTAAGATCTTTTCTTTCTGCTAATTATTAGTCAAATATTTCCATAAAGAATTTTTAATTACTTAACTTCATTCCTGTAAGGTTTGATAAAATCTATCAATATTTTAAAACCGGACCGGTGAGCGAACCGGAAAAGAGACCGTGTGGACGAATCACTGATTCAACTGTCGGGTCGAAGCAGTTGAACCGTGACGTCATAATTAATATTATATAATTATAATTATAAATAAATAAAAATATATATAATTACTAAAATAATAAATAAAAAAAAGTGTTGCATAATATTTACTAAAAATATTTAATAAAGTCATAATTGATATAAAAAAAAAGAAGAAGACTAGTTTTAAAGAAATTTAAAAAATTAAATATTCCCTCCAAATAAATTGATTGAATGTTTGATTTAATTTTGGAGGGAAATGAAATTTTCAACTTTCCCACTAATCAAATATGATTCAAACAACTTGATTAAATCCTACATTGAATTTTTAGGTTCTCTTTGAACAATTTTTTTCCTATAAATAGGAATAGACTTTCATAATTTCTTCAAGTTTCTAATGAGACTCCTTATGAGAGAAAACTCTTGAAGTGAGAGTTTTTAGTTAAAATTTTGATATATATATATATATATATATAAGAAAGAAAGAAAGAGAAAAGAAAAGAAGAATTTTTTTTAAAAAAGAATTAAAAAAAAAAATCGACGGTTTGGTTGAGAACCGGCACCGGTTCACCGGTTTTACTGGTTGAACCACCGGTTTTTACAAACAAGGCCGGTTTTTGGCCTAGTCTGGTTTTTGAAGATCTTTCAGATCGGAACTACGTCCAGTCAACAGTTCTACCGGTTGAACCAGCCGGTCCAGTCCAGTTCTTAAAACATTGCAATATATGTATTAATTTTCAGCATGCATAACCCTCGGAATTTGTTATGAAAGACTTATCTCCCTTACCTTGAAATACATGTACTTTGGATTTTTATTCTATGAAGAAGTATGTTCTTGTTAGAATTTTGCTGATAATGTTTGTAGATTGAGTAATTATGACCCATAAATAAATTGGCATTTTGCCAACCCGGGTTTCTAGTTTAGTGGAATGGCTTCTTTTTAGTTTTAAGGGCAACTAGCTACATTATACTAACCTGACAAAGCGGTCGCAAAGAGTGAGTGCGTCTTTTGTTTGTCAGATTACTTACTTTATTTTCAAGATTTCCCCCCTTTATTTCTCCTGAACATTCTGTTTATGCAATAGCTATTACTCTGGTCATCTGTGTACTTGAATTCAAGCTCCTGATGTAATATTACCTTTAGGGCATCACTGCTTTGCTTGTTGGCTTTATTTTATAGATTTTGATTGTTCCTCTTTTTTCTTTACTTGTAGGGCTTGTTGGTGCATGATATTCGGGTTTTGGATTATTGCTGATGCCTCACAGTTTACTTGCTTTGTGTGGCATATTATTACATTCTACTAGATATTTGAGACCTGAACAAGTTCTTTTGGGAGGCTTTATTTTGTAGTGTTATATTGAAAATGAATTACTACTTTTAGAACATTGGTTATGGAATACACTTAGCTTTTGAACATATGGGGGGAAATACCACCATTGCAATATTTGATAGATATCCCCCCATATTTCAATAAAGGCTGCTGCTTATCAAAAATGGTGAAATACATGAATCTGTTATCTGATCTGATTTTGTCGCATTGTTAAATTCTTGTTAAAAGAAAAAAATAATGATAATAAGAGGGGCAACCTGCACATAGCAATCCACTTTATGTCAGATTTTTCTGGATGAGGCCGCATGTTTTTAATTAGAAGAAATTGTGATAATGTATCTGACATGTTGGATGCAATTAGTGAAGGGTTTTATTCCAGTAAATTCATATTTCATGCACGGTGTGTGTCTCTCCTATTAACACTTTTATAGGGAGGAAGTAGAATTGTTTGGCTAAAGAGATTGGGGCTAAATTAGTCATTAAAAGACAATAAATTTAAAAAGTTAATAACATAAAATATTACATTTAAATAAATTTTTTTTTTTCATAAAAATTAAAAAAAAAATCAAAAAAGTCCATTGCAACGAGCTTTTACTTAAAAAAAATCCCAATTCAAAAAAAAAAACTAACTAAGAAAGTACTTACCAAATGATAACTCAAGTAATTATGCCAATCTACGTGGTTCTCAAAAAAAACAAAAAACAGAAAAACCAAGCAATCTACGGAAGGTACATACTACTGTTACATTGTTACCACTGCTGCAACATTCAGTCTGGAGCAATGCTATGCAAAGGAAATGATATGAAATTTATGTAAAGAACAATTAGAAAATAAACTCCAAAAAATAAAGCAAAGCAGGAAAATACCAAATGGAAAGATTTTCAAGCAAAAAAGTGAAAGGAAAAGCCTTCAATTATTACTAAAAACCTCAGGTTTGGATTCGCACCAACATAGAAATAATGGCAGAATCTGAATTTGCACTAAACAAAACATGGGGCAATTTTAATTTTGAAACCCCCAAAAAAACGCAAGAAGACATCGCTCTTTAACTTCTCTGTCAAATATTGGTATAGTGTTTGAACAGCAAAATTATTCCAAACTGAACTCCCTAACCATGGAACAGTACTAATCTTCATGGTATGCTCGGGATCAACGCCAAAGAAGCTCATTAAGCAGAGGCCATGTGTCGAATCAAGTCAATCACCCGGTTGCTGCAACAGATAAACAAATGTTAGAAATTATGGACAAAAAGGTATCTCCACACATCCCCGTCACATAATTAAAACTAAAACAAACAAATGAGATATTTCTCCTGGAAGTACTAACCTGTAACCCCATTCGTTGTCATACCAAGAGACAAACTTCACAAAGTTCTCATTCAATGCAATACCAGCCTTGGCATCAAAAATGCTGGACCTGCCAAAAGATTAATTTACAAAGTGAATTGCATTATTCAACTGCAGCAACAATAAATAAATAAATAAAAATAAAAATAAAAAAAAGAAGAAGAGAGAAAAAAATAATTACATATTCCATCCATATAAAAGATAGTTATTGATGAGTTGACGAGAAATATTCAACATGACGTGCCATGATGTATACTTTTTGCAGACGATATCGTGCTAGTGGATGAGACTAGAAAAGAAGTTAAAACAAAGTTGGAGATTTGGAGAAAAGCTCTTAAATCTAAAGGTTTGAATTCCGTATAAGCAGAACTAAGACAGAGTACATGGAGTGTAAATTTAGTAACAGTCACAATGAAAGCAAAGGAGAAGTGAAGATTGAGAACCAAAAACTGCCTAAAAGTAAACATTTTCGTTATTTAGGATCGATTATCATAACAATGGGAAAGATTGATGCAAATATAGCCCATAGGATTAAGGCGGGACGGTGTAATTGGAGAAATACGTCTGGGGTATTGTGCGATAAACGAATACTCATTAGACTAAAAGGTAAATTCTATAGAACGACTATTAGACCAGCGATGTTGTATGTGATGGAGTGTTGGGCAACCAAGAAACAACATATAGGTAAGATGAGTGTGGCTGAGATGAATATGCTAAAGTGGATATGTGACAAAACTAGACAAGACAAAATTAGGAATGAGTGTATTCGGGAATAGGTAGGAGTAGCACCGATAGAAGATAAATTGAGAGAGAATCGATTGAAAAAATTTAGTCATGTTCAACAGAGACCAACAGAGGCAATAGTGAAGAGATGCGATGTGATGCTGTAACGGTAGATGGAAGTGTTAGGGGATGGGATAGACCTAGATTAACGTTGGCTAGCGTTGTAAATAGAGATGTAAATATACTTAATTTGACCAACGAAATAGCCTTTGATAGAGCCGTGTGGAGAAGAAAGATTCAGTTAGCCGACCTTATTTGATGGGACTTAAAGCTTGGTTTGGTTTGGTTATCAATATAAAAACATTCATATACAAACAAAGAGTTTCAAAGTATTGCACACTTGCCAAGGGACAGTTTTACAATCACAGAACAAATTATCTCAAAATGACAAAAAAATAAAAAATGAATCAGCCATTGGGAAAAGTTATCCATTAAATATGATAAACAGTATACACCTCCTTACCTGCAATCACCAATAAAGTCGGTTGACACTACATCATCCTCAGTGTAACCAAGGATTCCCTTCAAACTACCCTCCGAAGCCTCCCTACAAAACAATTACAAACCAAAAGGGATCATGGATCACATAATCCGTTACTTGGCTCTCTCTCAGTTAATTTGTTAAATTTTTTTAAAGAAATTCTAGAGTAAATTATCCTTACTTGATAGCAGCTTTGATCTCATCATAGGAAGCCTTCTTCTCAATCCTTGCAGTGAGGTCAACCACTGAGACATCCACGGTGGGAACACGGAAAGCCATTCCAGTCAGCTTTCCATTTAGTGCAGGCAGAACTTTCCCCACAGCCTTCATGCGCACACACACAAAAGGTCATGATAAAGAAAAAACATCACAATGCCTCGTACAAACAAAATATAGATAAAAATAAAATAATTAATAGAATTTTCTTTTTTTCTTTTTTTTTATCATGTGTCCAACATTGAAATAAATATCCTACTCTACCGCCTATGCTATGTGATACCAAACATAGATATGCAAAGCATTCTGCCATCTACAAATTATTTAAATAAAACTGCAATTCATTCCATAGACACAAATCTTCTGAATACCTTGGCAGCTCCAGTACTGCTAGGGATAATGTTAAAAGAGGCAGCTCTTCCACCTCTCCAGTCCTTCATTGATGGACCATCAACAGTCTTTTGTGTTGCTGAAAGGCATGAAATAATAAGATAAAAAAGTTCACTTTATCTAAAGAAAAAAGGACAATGAGTAGTACCAGTAATTGAATGCACTGTGGTCATGAGGCCTTCGACAATGCCAAATATGTCATTAATAACCTGTAGCGATTTATATGCAAGAAACATAAGATAGGAATTCCAGTCTTTTGTTATGATATAAACTGAAACCAAGTACAAAAGCAACCTTCGCCAATGGAGCAAGACAGTTGGTAGTGCAACTAGCGTTGGAAACAATGTCAATATCTGATTTGTATTCCTTCTCATTGACACCCATAACAAACATTGGAGCATCCTTGCTCGGAGCAGAAATGACAACCTTCTTTGCGCCACCCTGGTAATCAAACAAAAAACGGGGCAATACTGATTAACATCAACCAACCAACAAAATAAATAAATAAAATTTTAAAAATGACCCTCGACAATGTCCACTGAGCATAATGTGCAAAAGAACATTCAGATTTATGTGCAGGAGATTGCACCAGAACAAGTATTATATGAAGCAATTACAAGATTAGATTATGAATATAATAATAATAATAACTAAGGTCTATGTAGCCAAACATGAAAACAACTTCAACATGAAACACTTTCATGAAAAAGATATTTTCAAACATCAATACAGATGAATTTCATCAACAATATCATTCAAATATGTGTGCATGAGCCAAAATGCATATTAAGAGAGCAGCAAATTAAGGCAAACCTTCAAATGTGCAGCAGCTTTGTCCTTGTCAGTAAAAACTCCTGTGGACTCAACAACATATTCAGCTCCAACCTCACCCCACGGAATCTCCTCTGGGTTTCTAAATAACAAGCAAAGAAAATATAATCAATAATCAGAAGACGTGATTTTTAAAAAGTTGAAATATAAAGATGGAGAACCAGTTTATACCTCGAACCAAAGACTCTGACAGGTTTGTCGCCAAAGAGAAGGGTCTTGGAATCCTTAACCTTAAGCTCATTCTTTTTCCATTGGCCGTGAACACTGTCATATTTGAACATGTAGGTCTGTACAGCACAAAATCAAAATCAAGTTAACAAAAGATGGATATCCAATAATTGATTTCATGGCCTAGTGGTGACTTGGGGCCACTGAAATGGTTATCAGGGTTCAAATAATCCATTGTCCATGATAAAAAGAGAGAAGAAGAAAAAAAAGTTATGCATATTATATAGCTATGTGGAAATTAAAAGCTAGAGCAAAACAATTCATCTAGATAGTCTAATGCTAATTTACCTAGGAACTTTCTTTGTCAAGAAGTTTCTTCAAAACTCAAACAAAAGCAACCTCACTCACACATTCTGTCTCTATATACATGTGCTTATGTATGTGACATGAATTCTATATTGACTCTTTAATTTTGCATGATTATGTTGCATCCAGTAAAGTTATCTCACAACATTTGATTAGACAAAAGCACATCCTAGGACGAAACTAAAAATTTCCAACAACACAGCGTGGTTGGGCTAGTTCCATGAATTTACATATGCAAACATTATATATAGATATGAAATATACTTCATCCAAGCAAATAACATGAATACAACAAAATCACAGAAATTCTGAAACCACTACGTAGTTTCACATTACAAACATGTCACTAATACACATTTCCAAAATAAGAATCATGTATCACATAAATCTATGATGATTAGTTCAGATTGAAACTACAATAGATCAGAATTTGAATGGCGACTGATTGATGCGTTTTACACTAAATGTCAATCAAATAAAATAAAAAAAATAGCGAACAACGAGACAGTCCAGCGATCCATATAATCATGATGGATATCATCATCAATAATGTGAGAGAAATGGTGATTTTTACCATGTAATCAGTAGTGATGAACGGATCGTTAACGGCGACGAGTTCGACATCGTCACTCTGAAGAGCTACTCTCGCCACCAAACGGCCGATCCTTCCAAATCCTGAAACAACACAACACAAATAACCTCAGATCAAAATCGTATTGTGTTATGCATAATGATCGAATGAAAATGTGATGAACAGATCAGATCACTTACCGTTGATTCCGATCTTGATTTTGCCCATGGTCTTCGCAAACAAAGTGAAATGAGATAAGAGTAGTAGTGGTGTTGGTAATGGTAGCCTAGGGTTAGAGTGGTCACGATGGGGAACTGTGTATGCAACTAGGAAGCTATATATATATATGTAAGGGGAGGAGGACGTTATATTATAGACAAACGGACAGGAGGGAACGTGGGCGGATGTGTCGTGAGTTGAATTAATATACGGAACTTTTAAAGTGGGACCACTCGCTTAGAGACCAGATCAGGGACTCAGCAGCACCATAGACAGACTCCCGAGACTGGTTGCATCACCCTTAATTTCAATGACTCTCTACATCACGTTTCTTCTATCCGATCCACCATATCAGGGCTTTTCTTTTTCTTTTTTCTTTTGTTCTATTTTTGGGTAATCTACTGTATCAGCTTCTTTGCGATTTTTTTTTTTTTGGCTCTTTTTTTTGTTTTGAGTAACTTTTTTTTAATTAGGAGAAAATTAGAAACCACTCTTCAAGTTTTTTGATTAGGTTCTAATTCATTGAAAATTTGCTTGCTACTTTTATTTTTTTTTTTAATTTTAGAAGAATAAAAATATTTTAAAAAAAAAAAATTGTTGTAAATGGTCAATCTCAAAACCTTTAAAAGCCCTATAATATTTTCTCCTCTCCACAACTCTCTGTACAACTCTCTGTACGGTCTCTCATTCTCTGTTCTCTTCTCAGTTGCTGCCTCTTGTCACCACCTTCGCTGGCACTTCCTCAACCGCCATCCACCGACATCTATTTCAATCATTCAAACCTCAGTGATCCAGATCTGAGTTGTTGTTAACCATTCACTGTTCAAGCACTCTGCTTCCATGCATTGCCAGCTTCACTGTTCTGCCGCCACTGCCCTTGTTGCTTCTCCTCCCTCTGTTGATCCAAATCTGCATCTATTTTCTCTCTATTTCTATATTCTCCAATGTAATATTAGCATAAGTGCAGCTACTGCCCATGAAGCTACAATCATCGTCAAACAAACAGAGAACATAAAGCCAAAAACACTGTTCTTGAACACAAACAACGTATAATCAGTTCTTGAAGGTTAGAAACTGCCACTTTCTTATCCACACAACTCATTGTACGTAAAGGAATTACTCTTCCAATTTCCCAGACTTTTCTAGCTGCTACAGAGATCATACCTGAGATTATTGTAAGGAAAAAAACAGAATATGAAAACTGACCCCAAAAAAAATGCTCCACATGACATCATCTCAACCCTGTCTAAAGCATTACACTATTCTCATCATAATCATTATCAATTTTCTCATAGGTAAGCTAGCAATGCACAAGACCAAAGGATTGGCCTAATGGTACCCATGGTACAGCATAAAATATCATGGTCAATAAACAAAATTTCCGTGAAATGAACTCAAGCATGGAAAATACAAGACACCCATCTAAGAGACCACATTGCATGTATTCACAATGCTATCACTCGGATCTCAGATGGTAATGGAATTTACACTAGCTTGTTTTGTGACCCCGGGGGGTTTAAGCACTTTGTTCATAGATAACAAAGCTCTAGTCACCCAGAACTCACCCCCTGGTACATTCCACCAGGCCGGAGATCATCCAAATTATCAAAGGTTCTATAGCTATTTATCTCCCTCAAACCTGTAAAGCCATTACGTGAGAGAAAATCCCGAAATTCATCTTCAGTAGACAGTGTTTTGTCTTCAGTTCGAACAGCCATTCGGTCAGAATCATCATAGAGGCATACTTTTATTGAGATTCCTACCATACAGAAACGAGAGGGAAAAATAAATAAAAAATAAAAACTCACTTAACCAAATCCTTGCTACCAAAGTTGCAGATATGTGTTAAAACTAAAAGGACGTCCATTTTTACCTTCATCAAGGTGAAGAGTGTAATTTCCCAAAGGCATGTTCCTGTCAAGACTCCGAATTACATTATCCTCATCTTCCAAGCAAAATGCCCGTTTAGTTCGTAAGCGAAAAGCAGACCTGATTGCCTCCTTGATTGCATCTGCAGTTCCATCAATACCAATCCTTCTAATGTGCTCACCCCACTTGACTGTTATGACCCTCCCACCATAGGCAGAGTGGCCCTCACCACCTGCCATGAAAATAAAAAAATAAAAAGAAACATCATGTTTCAAACTGAAATAGTGAGAAGATGAATCAAGTCAAAGGCAAAATGATCACTATGCATACAGGTGAAGGCTTAGAAGCTCCAGCAATGAAAGTGTACCATTAGATGTTTGCAAGGCACACAAAAAACAGTTTTGCTACCGGACCCTTACTAAACTACCGGATATTTTACACACCACACACATAGATTTGGTTTGTAAAACATTCAGTAGTTTTGAAGCAATGCCAATCTTTTTCCCACAAAAAAATAGTGACCCAAAAATCCAAAATGTATGTGTCTTAAATAAAACTATTAAATACACTTTCCACTAGCCACTAAAGTCATTCTTTTTCCCAACACCTGTTGGGTTTTGAATTCAAACAGATTTGAATTAATTCAAACAGATAGTAAAACGGGAAGGGCCCTGTTTGGGTGTGCATTAATTCCAAAACAGTTTATTTCTGTTTGAAAACGGGAAGGGCTCTGTTTGGATGTACACTAATTCCAAAACAGTTTATTTCTGTTTGAAACCGGGAAGGGCCCTGTTTGGATGAACAAATAATCCAAACCAATTTAATTTGAATTATGGATTTTATTTTAATAAAAAATAAAATTAAATTCAAATGTTTTTGGCCCAAAAAGATTAGAAGCCCAACCCAACCACACACCACGCACCCGCGCGACCGGACGGACGGCGGCGGCGGCGCGCGCGCGCGTGTGTGGTGATTTTTGGGTCCAATGGGTCTAGCCCATTTTGCCCATAACCTCTCCCTCTAAAACACTTGGGTACCCCTTGGGGCACACCCCAAGTATCTCACCCTAAGCCTTATAAACCCTTTCAAAACCTCCCACCAAATCAATGTGGGACAAGCCAATTTACAACCTTAAGGAATTTCCACCAAAACTCCATTTTCATGGAGCACACTTTGGCTTCAATTTCCCATTCACTCGGTAATGGTTTTGAGCAACCAAATATACCACGTGAATCACAACGCGGCATAGAACGCGTTACCACTTTAACCCGAGTTAATCGACACTCGGGGCCCACCTAAAAAATAGACCTAACTTAGGAAAAAATTAACCATTTCCAACAGTTGAGTGTTCTAGTCACTCTCGGCACAACAAAAGCTTTCAATAATTTGAAACAGTACAGTCTAGTAAAAAAACCTACTACTTTTTAATATATTTCTTCCTTTTTTTCTCCAATAGCTTGTCTTAGTTGTTTTTTCTCTTTTTGTTATTCAGTTCTCTCAGGAATTTGCCACCAATGTTTCGATGGAATCATCTGACTAGGGCCAACATCAAATTTTCATGTTCAGCGTCTTTGTGAAACTTTAAAGTCTTAAAGTCCCCTTTAAGGTACACAGAGGAGAAATAAGAACAGAGGAGAAAGAAGAGAAATAAGATACACAGACAGAGATAGAGAATACAGCACAGAGAACATAAGAGATTTGAGAGAAAAAAAAAGTGACTTCCAATAGGGTGATAAGACGAGAGAAATACATATTATATATATACAGAGAGAGAGAGAGAGAGAGAGAGAGAGAGAGATGAGGACAGGAGAAAGAAGAGAGCCTAATCTAGGCTTAAATCTGCATTTCATATTCATATTTGAGAGCCTAATATTTGTTTTGCAGCAATCAAATCTACAAACCATATGAAAATCTTCTAAAACCACTCCGACCCAATGTAGTAACTTAAAAGGACTCAAATTCTATCAAATAAATCTATGCAAGTTCAGTAAGAATAAAATTACAATAATATTATTTAAAGGACTCCGAAAAACACCAATAACAAGATATATCAAACAACACATTGTCATTTGTGACTCCTAGCCCAGATCAAGTATGCTGTATCAGCTTCCTGATGTATTTCAGACAAAGGGACTGCATATGAGCTTTATAAAAAGGTCAAGAGATCTACAGCTGTGCAGAAGGTATATGAAGCCACCATTTGAACTAATGAACTTAATGGACCCAAACCCAACACCAAACATTATCAAAATCATATTTTTCCCTCCAAATATTGAGAAATTTAATTTGGATCTCAATTAACTCCAGAACTGAAAATTAATGCATGCAATGCACTCTACAAATTGAGCAGTAAAATGGAGAAAACCTCTTGAAACACAAGGTTAGTACCTGATAAGAAGTTTCCCAAAAAATAACTGAATTCAGATTGACATTTTGACAACACAAGGTGTAAACTTGACACTGATGTTCACCAGTTGAATACCAATTTACACAAAGAAATTGACAAATTGTGTGATCATTATGAGCAAAGCCATCAAAGTGCAGTGCAAAGGGGGAAACATAGCGTCAGATATAAATAAATCTAAAACAATTTGAATTTAGCTCAAGGGCAAATTTCATGTTACCAGCTTGTGGTTTGGTGCATGTGGACATGCCTAGTCATTTGGAAATAAGCACACAACCCACATGTGGTTTTTGAACTAAAGCGCACCGTTAAGCCTATTAATGATTTAAGAGAGAGAAAAAATTAAATACCCTTGCAAAGTTTTTTTTTTCACCAGGAGGAGAAAAGAAAATAATTTTGAAGCTAAAAAAATAAATGAGATTTGCACTCTTAACTTGACAAAAAATAAATTAAAAATACCAAATGTACTGAAATCAATGATAAATCAATTTGCAGCAAAGTACCTTCTACTGGTCCAAATGGGATACTGCCATCCTCCAGGCCTGAGAAAGAGTAACAAATAAATCATTAACTAGAACTAATACTGATGATGACTTTGTAGGAGAGGTACAGGTCCAAATAAAGATAATTGCAAGTAATATCTTTAAACACAAAAGAAAGCACCCTTTCACAACATATTTCCATAACGGAAAGCAAAAAATAGAAATGTCAACATAAACGACCAACTTCACATGTATGGTAATAGTAACAAAATCTCATGAAACTCATGCTGCTAGAATTGGCAAAAGTCAAAACAGGAAATAGTGTCACCCAAAAGGTATTTAGGCATAATTAAACACACATAGATATATAAGTTTATAGTCAAGGAACAGTGAAAACCTCCATTTGGTTACGATGACATTTATGGCAGGAAGTGAAAAATATGCTTCATTAAAGCTTTGTTCGGTTCAAGACAATGAAGGAGAGAAGCTACATTCTTTGCTTCTATTTGGATGGTCAAAGACAATGAATAGGCATTTCTCAAAAAAACAAAAAAGAAATCATTTGTTTGTTTAGTTAACCAAAAAGATTAACAAGTAATTTCATTTCCTTTTCTTTTCCCTCATTAAATCCTACATGCAATCATAGCTGTACAAATTAGGAGTGAGCATGGTCCGATTTGGATTGGTTTGGGATGAAACTAGAACCAATCCATTGTTTATTGTTCCATAAAAATTGGAACCAAACCAAACCATTAAACTCATGGAACCAATCCAAACCAAACCAAACCAAACCAAACCATTTAAACATGGTTCAGTTCATTTTGGAACCACAGTTTCACATAATCTATTCACAAGAAAAACCATATAACATTTGCAAAAACAATTCAACATATCATAAATTTTAAAATTAATAATAACATGCCCATCAAACAAATTACTCTCATAGTTTTGACCAGTTAAGCAAAAACATAACATTAAGCAAATATTGTTCAACATTAATCTGTCATGATTTTTCCAAACATTAACTTTCAAAGTATAAAGATGCACATTATTTTACCATTAACTTAAACAAACATAATATCTAGCTCCAATTCAGTTCAAATCCGAAATCATATTCACCCAAAAAAAATCCGAAATCATGAACCTAAATCCGGAACCAATCTGCAGAGACCCATTTCCCAATTTTCCAAACCAGAACCAAACCACGAATTAAAAAACAAACCAAACCTACCAGATTGGTCTAGACCGATTCGGTTTGCAAAATTTTCAGTTTCTTTACTCAGCCATAGTAAAAATTGAGTCATCCAAGAAGAAAAAATATATGGTACATACCTCATATGCCCCTTAGTTACTATGAGGTCTTTGTTTTGGTTATGACCTATTGGGATGTTAGTTACAACTTGGTTATACACATTGTGGGATTAGTTATGACTCATTGTGATGTGGGTTACAACATTATTTTGGTTATAGCTCATGTGCGATTTCGTTATAAATTTTTTTTTCTTTAGGACTCCCATAAGATTGAGTTATGACATTTGTGGTGATCAACTACACAAATGTCATAACTTCCATACAGTATTGCATTACCCATCCAAAGAAACATAAGCTAATGCAATTCATGGAAATGAAAGTGAAGACAAAGAAAAGAACTACCCAACAAAGAAATTGCCGGCATTGTTTGATTAGCACATTGGACGCTGGTTCATCGCTTTCTGAAACAACATTCCCCCCCCCCGAGGAGTTGTTCGTTTCGGAAAGAAGGGAAAGTTGTCACCTCGGCTCATTGGGCCTTTCGAAATCTTGGACAAAATAGGAGAAGTGGCATACCGTTTGGCTCTACCACCTCAACTGGCTGGAGTACATAATGTTTTCCACGTCTCTATGCTACGGAAATACGAGCCACACTCTTCTCACATCATCAATTGGGAGGAAATTAACCTTGATGAAGATGTGACATTTGAAGAAAAGCTTGTCAAAATTTTAGATCGTCGCGAGAAGAAATTACGAGGTAAAACTATACCGTTGGTTCGAGTTCTCTGGAGACATCGTGGGACGGAAGAGTCAACGTGGGAGCGAGAAGATATGATGCATGCCAATTACCCTCAACTTTTCGTGTCTAAAGGTACGAATTAATTTCGAGGACGAATTTTTTTTTTTTAGGAGGGTAGATTGTGAAAACTCATATTTAAATTATTCTTAAAAGAAAATTAATTAATTAATTAATTAATGTTATTCAGAATCTACCTAAAATATATAATAGTGTAAAAAAAAATTAGTTTTAAATTAACCCAATTCTATCACTAACAAAGACCTTATTAAGAATAATAATTTATTGATGTTCAATAAATATTGTTATAAATTATTAGTAAAAAAAATAAAAAATAAAAAAGAAGAAGAGAGAATCAGATTTGGTGCAGGATGTGCCACATGCTAACTTGCATGTAAGCTTGGTAAATTTCAACACATCATGATTCTTGGGTTATGGAGAATTGTAGTGGATAGCATAATGAGAAAAAGAAAAAGAGGGAGGGAGTGAGAGGGGAAAAGGCTTAACAGGATTACTATATAAACACATGAAGGCTCAACGGGATTTCTATAGATACACATGCATGCCTTTGACGGGTGAGGAGAGTCTAACAAAAAAAAAAAAAAATTAGTAGAAGGAAAAGAAGAGAGGAAGGTTAAGGAAGCAAAATTTTTCTACCATTTCATCACCCATTTGAATCCTACTATTAAGTAAGAAAACCCTCTCAACCCTCTCATTTTTTTTTATTAGTGAAGTTTTCAAATTATGTCCTTGTGATTAAAATGACTACTCAAATAGAAATTTTATATATATGTGTAGGAATTTTGTGATGTGTATATCAAGTGTTTGAAGATGTTGATAGTATTAAAATCATCTTATTGTTGTAAAGAGAAGATTGAAAATAATTAATCTGTTTTGAATATGCCAGAATGTTGCCCGAATTTTTAGATAATTTTATACTCAAACTTTCAAGATGATTTGTTCTACAAAGTTGTTGATAATGATGTCTAGTTCATCTAGGAATTTTGGAAACAATTTTTGAGCTTTCTACGAATTTATACAAAATTTTAACTAAATCTGAAACTGTGTTGAAAGTAATCTGTTTTGAATCTGCCAGAACGTTGCCCGAATTTTTAGACAATTTTATACTCAAAATTTTGAGATGATTTCTTATACAACGTTGTTGATAATGATGTCTAGTTCATCCAAGAATTTTGGCAACAATTTTTGAGCTTTCTACGAATTTATACAAAATTTTAACTAAATCTGAAACTATGTGAAAAATAATCTGTTTTGAATCTGCCAGAATGTTGCCTAAATTTTTAGACAATTTTATACTCAAAATTTCGAGATTATTTATTCTACAAAGTTGTTGATAATGATGTCTAGTTCATCTAGAAATTTTGGAAACAATTTTTGAGCTTTCTAAAAATTTATACAAATTTTTAACCAAATCCAAAACTGTGAGACAGATTTTACTATGTATTTGAAAATTTAATTAAAATTCTATACTAAGCCAAATCTGGTAATTTCTAACTAAAATACAAAATTTGAGAAGTCTAGTTTCATGATAAATTTTTAGATTATGGATTTGATCTATAAATTTAAGCATGGAATTAATGTAAGGAAATGTGACAAATCTGTGTCATAAAAATTGCTGGAAATTTTACAGGATTATTTACACCTTCTTTTTTTGAAATTGTATCTGAAAAGTGACCTAAACATCCCTATTGAGTATTTTGTTCAATTGCACGAATTTTAGAATTGTGTAAATAATTTATTTATAATTTTTAATACCTAAGTTACAATCTGAAATTTTCTGGACATGATAAAATCATCATTTCAATATTGTGTGGGTCTAATCTATCAACTATTATAAATTAGTAATCCATGTATGGGTGTGTTATGATTTATTTAATATTTTGCTAGTCTAATTTTGAAAATCAAAAATGTGTGCATGTGTATAATTATGGTTTATTTCTTGTATCTAAGTTATTATGTTCATACCATGGCTTAAATTAATTGTCTATTAAATTTTGTACATTTAATTATTATTGTATGACATGCATAATGTTTTATGTTAGGAGTTTTTTTTTAGTTGGTATAACATTATTGGTGATTGAGAATTGAATAATTTGTGTTTAATATATAAATTAACCGAAATGATTGATGATATATATAAAGTTACTGAAAAAGGATTATTACCGGGTATTCAGGGTGAGCCTTGGTTTTTAATAAGTTTTAAGTAAATTGTGTCGCGAAACCCTAAGATGGCACGGGACTTATTTGAACCCTTATCGGTATTTGGTTTTGGAATAAGGGTGGATGTGCGGGTGGCACGCAGGGAAGTTACGTACCCCTGGCAGACCGTTCCCTTGGGGCAGACCACGGATGTCACGACTTGGGTATATAACTTCGGGCGTGGGCATCTTTGGTAGTTCTTGAATATTTGACCAAGGGGGGTGTCCAAATTAACCGTGGCCATGACTTAGTGGTTGGTAAGCTAAACCTCTTTGGTGAGATTTCAAGGGTCACCTAAGTTATTAAAATTATTTGAATTATTGTAATGGTTGTAATTTATGTTTACGATTATATTATTATCTCGTGTTTATAATCTCATTATTTTTCTCAAAAAGAATGGTAGGTTGGTTATGTTTTCTTACTGTGTTGCAAAACTCATGGCATATATTTTGTTGCCCTGGCGTTTCATGCCAGATTATGTCGAAGAAGGGACTGAGGCTGAAATTGGAGCAGCTGCTAATATCGAACTTTGGCTAGCTTAGAGTCAAGATTTTATCAAAATAAAATCCTGTTATCTCTTGTAATAGTATTTAACAATGTTGTGACGTTGTGTGTGAACTTGTAGTTTTATTTTGTTGTTGGACTTTGACTATGTAAAAATTTAAAACTTCCTAATTAGTAGTTAAAATTTTATCTAGTAAGTTATTGTATTTAAATCTTATGACGTTTCAAAAATAATAATTTTAGGGCGTCTCGAGCTATGTTCAAGTTAAGTTATTTTCTACAAATGCAATAAGATCTGTTCTATGAAATG